TATCACCTGCCTGGCCACCTCTGCTCCCTCCCCTCTTCCCACCTGAGGCTCCGTTCTCCACGTGCCACTTTTATAAAGCCACACAAACAGCCATCAGGCCACTGCAGGGCAGCTTACAAGCTCACCTGGTGATATTCGCCCTTTACTAATATTTACTATAACACTGCTCTTAATCCTTCCCAACCTGTGTCGTGTACGCTCCGCTTCGACGTTAGAAAAAAGGTCGGGGCATAAACAGACATCAGAGGAAGTGTCGACGTGCAGAAGAAGAAAGCTCCCTTTCCAATCACTAACCGAGGGCATCGTGCAGGTACTTCTGTCCCACCAGTTTGAGGTATTCCTCTATGGCCTTTGTAGCCAGTGTGTTTTCTCTGAAGATGAGGTGCTCGTTCTCCCCGCAGCGGTCCACCTCTGACATCATTAAATCTGTGAGGAAGTCCTACAGAAAAAAAACAAAACAGGACGAGCACAAGGTTAATAACTGCTATTCTCAAAACGCACGCACATAATGAATGAGTTGATGAAGATGTCTGTCCAATTATACAAAGAGCTGAATCGTGCAAGAAGGTGAGAGCTTGGAAGTAAAAAAACTAAACAGGAAAAACAAATGACAGTGCATAATGGAAATTCAGTGTAATGGCCATGAAAACAAAATGTGTCCTCAGGGGAGAGTTGGTGGTGGCGAGAAAAATAAGAAGGCCTGGACTTGAATACAGTTTCATCTGATTCATTTTCACCCACTTCCTAAAGAAGCTGCAAAACAAAGCAAAACAGGATATTGAGTTCCTCTCTCCCTCCACTAAGTCCAGCCTTAAAGTTATATTTGTTCTTTGGGCAGAGCACTAAATGCCATCACAGCTTTTGAGATGCTCCAGCTCACTGTTAGAATTATGATCCGTTGAGAAAAAAAAAAAAACTAATTCAAATTAAAATGATTGGTGCTTACATGGTTACATTCTGTTTTTAAATGTTTTCTGCTATAAGTCTCATTCACACAGTGCTTAACTTGTACGTCTAACATTCACAGACACACACTGGACAGGAGGAGCCGTGGATCCATCGACCTCCTGATTGGTAGACGACCTGCTTTACCACCTGAGCCACAGCCAACCAAGGAGATTAGATCGTTCCAGCTCCTAACAAACCCCGGAGTTGTTTGCTTAAGGTGAAAATGTGATCCTACCTCAATCCAACTCAATTACCAAGTGTGCTTTGCATTCCAGGATGTGGCAGAGTACCACAGATATGCACTGTGGACAAAATGTCACAACTAGCTTCTACAATGAACTAAAAAGCACAGATTTATTCCAAATGCTTGAAGTAAATTCTCTGTGTCCAGACTAGTCCAGAACACGGCAGCTTCTTCCTGTATTTCCTTTTGTTGCTCCTGCCTCAGACGTATCTGGCCGATAAGCGGACCAAA